GGAGAGGTTTGAGACTGTATTGTGGGTGAGTAGATGTTGAAGGTGGTGTGGAGATTTAATAGTGGTGTGTTGACCAAAAGTGAGTTTGGTACTTTCTCGGGCCAAGAGTGCAGCCACTGCCAAAACTCGCTGGCATGATGGCCATCCCCTGATAGTGGGGTCCATTTGTTTGGAGAGATAGGCAACTGGAGTGTAAGTAGGTCCCTTCATCTGCCTTAAGACTCCCATGGCAATTCCCTCTCTCTCGGTTACATATAGGAATAAAGGGAGGAACAGGTCTGGGAGTGAAAAAGCTGGGGCTGATATAAAGGCTGATTAAAGGGATTTAAAAGCTTTTATGAATGGGGTGGGTTGGGTATAGGGGTTCTGAAGGGTTTCCTTTAGTTACCTCATAGAGCAGCTTAGCTAAGAGACTAAAATTGGGAATCCATAGTCGTAGGTAGCCTGCTAGCCCTAGAAAAGACAAGATTTACACTTTGGAGGTAGAGATATGCAAGTCTGCTATTAAATGTTTCTGGTTGAGAGTGATTTAACACTTGTGAGGGGAAATAGATACACCCAGATAGACTACAGAAGTTAAATAGAGCTGTAACTTTTGGGAAGAGACTCGGTATCCTCGGGCAACAAGAAAGTTAAGGAGAGAGATGATCCATTTTTATGAGTCCTGGAGTGGAGGGCTATATAGAAGTAGGTCATCCCCATATTGAAGGAGGGTACTGGGGGAGAGATTGAGGTTAGAGAGGTTTTTAGTCAGTGCTTGGTCAAAGAAGTGTGGGTTGTCATGGAAACTTTGGGGGAACACTGTTTACGTGTATTGCTGAGAGTGGTGGGTATTGGGGTCAGTACATGTGAAGGTGAAGAGGTTTTGGGAGGAGAGGTGTAAAGGTCAATGACTTTAAAATGGGATGTCTTAGCAGGGATAAGGGAGAGGATCGTGTATGGGTTAGGGATGATGGGGTGTATGGGAAGTACAGCTGTAGTGATAACACATAGGTCTTGGACTAGATGATAACTCCCATTGGGCTTGATGACAAGGAGAATAGGTGTATTGTATGGGGAATGAGTTGGGCGCAGAAGGCCTCTTTTTAGGAGGGTTGGAACAAATGGCTTGAGTCCCCATTAGTGTTTTAGAGTTATTGGGTATTGGGGAACATTGGGAAAGGTAGAGGAATCTTTTAGGGAGATTTGTATAGGGGAGTGGTGGGCAGTGATAGAAGGCTGTGTTACATCCCAGACTTGAGGATTGACTAGATTAGTTGGCAGTGGGAGGTTTTCCTCTGAAGGATTTGAAGGAGAGGAATCTGGTGCAGCATACAGCAAGAACAAGCCAGCTAGTGAGGTAGATATGGTAGTTTTAATAGGGTATAAGAGGGCAGCTTTAAACTTGGCTAGAATGTCTTATCCTAGGGTTGGTGTAGGGCACTTGGGTAGAAGTAGAAAGGCATGTAAGAATGGGGTGTCATGAAGTGAGCATGCTAGAGGTTCTGTGATGACAGGCCAAGTAGGGAGTCCATCCACCTCAACTGTTAATGTTGGGGTAGGGTGTGTCCACCCTGAGTGTTCTGGTAGAACTGAGTAAGTAGCCATGGGTGGCCCTGCTGGTATTTAAAATATCAGTGGCATAGCTTTCAGAATCACAGCAGCTCCCAAGCTACCACAGTACGACAAACTGACAGATGAGTGGTGGCTGATGGAATAATGGTGGTGATTATACTAGTTGAATGTTATTGAGTGCTTACTATGTGGCAGGTATTGTACTGTTTGTACTGGTTAGGGTAGATTTCTCAAAGGAATTACACTCCAGGTGGTCAGTTTAAGGCTCATCTAGTAATCACTTCTCCCCCTATTTTGAATTTGATGCAGAAGTATATTATTCTGTTTTTATTAGTGATGAGAGAGTACATTCGTTTCCTTTGTCTATATTAAAAAAAAAAAAAAAATGCCACAAGCCTGTTTGTTTTAAAAGAGAAATTTATTATCTTAAGCCTGGAAGTCAGAAATCAAAGTGTTTGCAAGGGTGTACTACCTTATAACCTGTGAGAGAAAGCATTTATTTCTTTTTTCTGCATCAGAAAGACCTTGGCACTTTCTTGTCTTCCTTTGGCCAGAGGCCATATTACTTCTTTTATTCCTCTGACTTCCTGTATTTGTTTGTTTCTTATGCACTGTCTATGTTCTGATTACACATGTGGTTACAATGAAGTTTGACCTGATAATCCAAGCTTAGTCTCCTCTACAAAGACTCATTGTCCAATTAACTTAACATCCACCCTTTATCATATCAGCAATATTCACATGTTCCAAATATTGTTGCTGTTGTTGTTAAGTGCTGTTGAGTCAATTCCTACTTATAATGACCTTGTATAGCATTTCAAAGGAGCAGCTGGTGGGTTTCAACCACCTACCTTGTGTTAGTAGTCCAGTCTTATACTACACCACCACACAAGGACTCCAAATATTAGGACATGGAAATTCCATTTTGTGCCCAACCACCTAACCCAGACATATCTTCTGATGATGCAATTCAAAGTTATATTAGCAATAGGTCCAGGAAAAGGTGTCAATTTTATCTCCCTGGATATCATGTGTAGTATTACATATATATCTGTTATACAAATCTAGAAACAATGAGGGAAATGAATCCTAGGATGAAGCCACTATGTATAGACAAATGATGCTCTATTGTCCTCTTCCTGTATACTCCCAATATCTGAAGTCCTATTGAAAGTACTTCTAAAAGCTCTCTCTCTCTCTCTCTCTCTCTCTCTCTCT